TTGTTTGTCTCGCTCGCACCAGGTTGAGTCTCTCGACTGAGATCGAGGAAGCAGTCCCGACTCGACGGAGCACCAGGGAGTCCGAGCTGAAAGGTACATTGATTTGGTGCGTCGTTTGGGGGCTCACTTTGCTGCGCACCGTGACTGCAAACACCCAGAGAGCCATCCCTTCTTCACACCCGTTGTATTCCTGGAGCTTTCGGCATGCAGCTTTTCTTTTGACTCGATACAAAGTACACAATGATGGCTGTACAAGTTTCGAAATCGTTCATGGCAGAAAGTATGACTCGAAGATTGCAGCTTTCGGGTCCACTGTGTTTTGTCAGTTTGTGCCGAAGAAGAAGGTGAAAGGTGTTGCGTGGGAGAAGGCAGTGTACTTGGGCAAGTCGTCATTAGGTGACCTGAGTATAGTGGCCAATGCGAGTGGAGTGCACTATGCTCGTACAATCCGTCGCGCAGCTCAGGTTTACCAAGCTGACATGATCGTCGCCATGAAGGGCGTCCCTTGGAATGCTACTTTGGATGTGGTGGCTGCCAGGACCACGGGTCGAGGTGCACTAGGACGCGTGCCCGTTGTCGCTGCCCCTGCACTTGGTGAAGCTGAGCCTCCCGCGGATGAAGCAGCGAGTGATCCTCCTACTTCCACCCCGCAAGCTTCACATTCTCCTGGGATGAGCGTTATAGATACTTTGGATGCGATGGAAGCCCAGGGTTCCAGCTCAGGGTCCTCTGAGTTGATTCCGGATGCGATGCAAGTTGACAAAGTTGAAGCAGTGGACCGCGAGAGTTTCGTGCCGTTTGTGTTTCGGGTGCTTGATCCTGAACAACCCCATGGGCATGAAGATGATTTCGTAGATTGTGATCCAGAAGAAGAGATAGGAAACATGCCCGTTGAAGATGAGATCCTGTGTGAGCCAGAGGAGGAAGTGTTTGCAGAAAGTGCTGGTGCCGTTCCCGGTGATGCCGGGATGCCTTGGAGTGGTAGGCCCTGCGAGCTAGGGCCCCCAGAGCTTGATCCCGAGGAGCTTGAGAAGCTGGATGAGCAGATGAAGGAGAAGGAGATCAGCCGCTTGTTGGACATGGGCGTCTTGGCCGGAATGGCTCCTGAAGCTCGTGAAGGGAAGGTCAAGTTGCAGTGCAAGTACGTGCTGGATTGGAGGTTTAGGAGCGGTTGGACCCGAAGGGCACGATTAGTTGCCAAGGAATACAAGTTCTTGGAGCCTGCTTTAACTGACCTTTATAGTCCGGCCTCTGTGGCTTGTAGCCACAAGCTCCTTGGATGCATGTTCGCGTCCAGCCAGCAGCTGGAGTTGGTGTCGCTCGACGTCACCGACGCCTACTTGCAAGTAAAGCAGAGACGTCCTACGTATATCCAGACCCCCATTGGTGATCTTGAGCTCTTGTATACCCTTCCAGGGCAACGCACTGGTTCGCGCGATTGGTATGACTACTTAGCAGCTATGCTGGCTGAAGGGGGTATGGAAACGTTCAAGGGAAACCCAGCAGTCTTTGCAACTCCCCAGCAGGTTGCTCTGAACAGCCATGTAGATGACATGCAGATCCTTGGCGTGAAGGGTGCTCCAATGGCGTTGGCAAATAAATTGAAGGACAAAGGACTGAAGGTGAAGATTGATGGCCCGGTGGACGTGAATGGGGGGATCTCGCACTTCCTTAAGCGCAAGTTTGAATCGGACGAAGAGGGCCTCACTGTCACCCAGGATGTGAAGTATGCTGAGCGGTTGGTTGGTCTTTTGGGTTTGGAGAAAGCCAACGAGAAGAAGACCCCAATGCCCCAGCAAATCCCAGAACCCGGTTTGGGTGAGCGTCTGAGCGCCGAAATGCATGCCCTCTATCGCCAGTGCATTGGGATTTTGCTGTATATGAGTAGTGAGCGCCCCGATCTACAGTATGGTGTGAAAGTTCTCTCTTCGCGTTGCAGTGAACCCACGGAAACCGACTTTGGTCTCTTGAGGCACTTGGTAAAGTACGTGAAGTTGCACCCTGTAGTTCCTGTGAGACTTGATCGTTGCGACCCAGGGTGCAGCTTTTTTCAGAAATGGGAAGGCCGTGATTGTGAACCAGAAGATTGGGACCCCAAGCAGTACCCCTTCGGCCTAGACCACCTCGTTGAAGTCGTGACAGATGCAGATTGGGGAATTAAGGTATTCCAGCAGAGACGTTCTATGCCCTCGTGTTGCATCTTTGTGAATGGTAACATATGCCATGCTGGAAACAAGGTACAGAAAGTGATCAGCCTCTCCTCGGCGGAGAGCGAGCTCATGGCATCGCTCCTTGGCATGACAGAGGCGACGTTCCTTGCTGAGATGATCCGTTTTATTTGCGGGCCCAACTCGCGGGTGAAGCTTGTGCATTACGTTGACAACTCAGCAGCGAGGGCTATCATTCAGAAGCAGGGTCTCCAGAGAACTCGACATGTTAGTTTGGCGTGGCTGTGGATTCAGAAAGGACATCATGACGGAGTTTTCATCACAAAGCCCATTGCAACAAAATCCTTCAAACGAAGCCCCATGGTAGGAATCGATTAAAGTACCTCATGAACTTGATTGGCATGAGCTTGGATGGCGATGACGAGCCAGAGCATGTTCGTGTTCGGCGGGTGAGGACAAGGTCCGCTTCTACCCCAGGGTTTGGAGTTGCAGCTGTGATGCGAGCGCTGGCTGTGATCATTGAGGGGGGTGAAGCAGCTAGTGTACAAGAAGCTTCGCGAGAATGGTTTAACAGAGTGTGGATTGTCCTTTTCATGATGATGATCTGCGGCTTGGTGGGTGGTTGGAAGCTCGCGATGATCTTCAGCGCCCATGGTGTGTGGAACCAAGTTTGGATGATGATGATTGTGGTGGTGGTTTCGGCAAGCGCCTCGAGTGACAAGGAGATGGTGGCCCACGGCAAGTTCGCGCAACAACTTCGTGACCATGGTGATGTTTTCATCTTCGTGGTTTTGACGGTGCTGATGTTTGTGGTGCTTGGGTGTATGCCGCCCCGGCGGTGGGGCCGATGGCAGCGTGATCTTGAGGAGCCGTTGGGGCCAGGTGAGAACCAGAACCAGCTCAGGAGCCGCGTTCATGCGTGGTTTGAGGTGGAGCTTCTTGGTCGTCCCCGAGCCGAGCAACAAAGCGGTGCGACAAGCTCGTCTACAAGCGCGGCCCAAGGACCAGTACCACAGAGTAGCCATGATGAGGATGCAGCCTGCTACGAGGATTGGGCTGAGGCGGTGTTGGTTGAAGACAATGGCGAAGGCCAGAGGTAGGTACGTCTACGAGAACGAGTACGAGCAGGCCGACAGAGACAAGGACACCGACCAGATGCCCGAAAACCCCGACTATAACGTCTACATCATAGGCGAGCCTCACAGGAAGAAAGCATTCCATTCATGGACTTGTGGAACGATTCAGAAGTGGAGACGAGATTTGCCTAAGAATGTTCGTGAAGTGCCGAAGTCTTATGCCACATCCAAGGGTCTTCGCCCGTGCAAGCAGTGCAGACCGTAAAGCAGTGAACGCTGAAAGCCGTAGACCGTAGTTTTGCTTAGCCTGCAAGTGCTGAGCAGTCCGCCCTTGTACAGTTTTCTGTGCGGCCCTGCGATGTAAGTCCTTTGGAATAGCTTTCGCAGTTTTCTCCGTGTAAATATGAGCCAGACTTTTCACCTGTAAGGCTGTGAGCTCTAGAACAAGAAAGTCCCAAAGATGACGTTGTTGTCTTCCAGTAAGGATTCCGGGACTAGAACAAGACCGAAATGCCCCACCAGAAGGGCCCCGGATCCAATAGTCCATGTGTACATTAGTGAACTTCAGTGCCTGTACAGGCGGTGGACTAAAAGTCTACAGAAGCACTTTTGGACAAGTGTGGTAAAGCTTTGAGTAGATGATCACCCTAAGACGGCGATCATCTAAGGGGGGTTTCAAGCTTTTAACGAAACCGGAAACCCGTTTTCCACGTAGCGTTTTGCTTGTGCAAAGCTTACAGTGAAGTGTGTCGCAACCAAGGCTCAAAGTGTGTGTGCACAAAAGTCCGTGCGTTTTGTTGAACCAAGACTGCTTGGAAAGCCCAACACAGCCACTGGTAGGCCCAAAAGCATCCATGTCGGTCCTTGTCTACCAACCATAACATCCCATGTGCATTTCAGGGTGCTGGAAATCATGAGGTCTTTGCTTCCTTGGATGATGTTTGCACTTGCAGAAAATGCTTCATTGCTCCAGTACCAAGAACTATATAGTTTCATTGATGGAAGCTTTCGGCAAAACGATCCTCGAGGACCTTCAAAGGCGCGAAAGGTCCATTTTCAGTTCAGAATGCCTGGGATGCCATTCCATGCAAGTCGATTGATCCTCTACATACATGGGTCAACAGGGGGGCTGTCGAGACTTGTGACCGCGTTGTGACCACAAAACGCGTCGTGACCGCATCGTAACACGTTGTGACTCTGTCGTGACTGTGACTGCGTCGTAATCGTGCCGTCGTGACCACGTCGTGACCGCAAAAAAAGCGTGAGCACGTCGTGCCACGTGCAAAATAGAATGTGTGTCGAGACCTCGTAGCAGCTCTACGCTGAAATGCAGCTCTACACTGCGTCTGAAGACTGCATGGACGCGGCGAATCTTGCAATGGAGCTTGTTAGAGAGTTTCAGTTTGATTGCCGAAGCGGTTCTCGGATTTTGTAGACTTGCTTGATGATATTAGTCCTTGTCTCTGCCATGTTTTCTGTTAGAAGCTTTTGTTTGCAGGCTGGTGTGACGCAGAGCAAGTCTCGGCGAAACGGGCTCGACGTAGCATGTAGAAACTCGGAAAAGCGCGTGACTCGATGTGAAAACTTTGGAAATCGGTTTTCGTCTGCTTTTCGCGGCAAAAGATCGGAATTCATTCGATCTTGCAAAGTCGGATTTCCGGTTCTAAGAGAGCTTTTTTGATGCTTTTAGACGTGCGTTTCGACCCATAAAGCATCGAGTCTTTGAAGAGAAAAGAGCGTTGTGGCCACGTAGTAACCACGTAGTGACCGCGTAGTGACAGTGACCGTGAAGTTGTGCGTAGTGACCGCGTGGTGACCATGTTGTCCATTTTGGAATCAATATTAAGTCATTATTGCATCATTATTGAGGCAAGATTGAAGCATTCTTGAATCAATATTAATCATTGTTGAAAACTCCAAACTGTTTCGACATTTTTCGCAAAACAAACACGACCACAAGTTTCCGCGTGGAGGCTGTTTTTGGACGCTTTCAGCCGTTTTTTGGCCGAATAGGACGCTGTAGTGACCTTGTAGTGACCTCGTTGTGACCTCGTTGTGACCTCGTTGTGACCTCGTAGTGACTGTAGTGATTTTGTAGTGACCTTGTAATGACTTTGGAAAAGGTTACCATAAGTGGCCCCTTACTTATATATGAGCTTCCAAATGCTTTGTGGGTAGTTCTCCCTTTTGAAGCTGGTCGGAAGATGCGCGAAAAACATCTTGGGCAAGTGGTTGCCTGGAGCGGCTTGTCAGCATTTTCAATGCATGCAATATTAAGGGCAAGTGTAAGGGTGGGTGAGTGTGGTCGTTTGTCCACCCCAGGTGAATTTGAGTCGAGACATCAGTCACAAGCGAAAGGTGTATTTGCAACAGCACGACCGGATGCTGGAAGCAGTTTCTGGCCAGAGGATATTCGCACTGCCCTTCTGCAGTCTGACACCATGACGTTCTTCTTTTGCACTTCGGTACCTGCTTAATTCTGAGTGTCAGGAATTCTTGGTGGAACCTGCAGGCTCGGATAAATGAGTTTCACCTCGATGTGTGGAGACATCGGCTGCAAAATAGAAAGTTGAGAGCAGGGTGGGCTGGAAATAGGCGCGCGTCCTCTCTACAAGTTGGTGGCTCGAGGTTCATGCCTCGATTTCAATTCCAGTTTTAAGAGACGATGAGTCACCCCAACAGGTACTTCTGTTTTTGCACGACTTGTCATCCAAAAACGAAAATCCCTTTGCAACCACTGCTACGCGGATCATAGGATCCCAATATATTTATACTCAAGGCCCGCTGTGAACTGCTGAAGTGCGCAAATCTCCAAACTGCGGTGCATGTGTGCTGTGACATAGAGAGCCCCTCATGAGCATAGTGCACTGCCAGAAGCATGGCAAACTCTGGGTGCGGATTATGCTACCTTTGTGCGGAAAAGGATGGTGCGCGGCACGAGTTTGTGTTTTTCCAGAAGAACATGTGCAGAGTAGCCTCAGAGGCTCCAGAAATGCAGCACAAAACTGGATAGACATGCTGCCGTGAAAGCAACCCGCACGAGGCTTTTATTCCGGTGTGTGTCAGCACACATGCCAGTTGGGAGATGTCTGTGCTGCAGCCGTTTACTGTGCGGTGGCACAGAGGCTTACACCAAACCTGTGTAACGTAGTGTCGTGCGTGCTGCCATGTTGCGCCTTGTGTCGTGTTCGTTGGTGTGCTCTGTGGCAGCTTTCGTAGTTAAGGACACCGAGTAGTTTTGGTGTTGTTCTGCATTTCGTGCTAACGGCTGATACGGCGCGATGTCAGCAAGTGTAATTATGTCGTTCTTCGCAATACGATATAATGCAGACAGGTCACAACGCAAGGCACTAGGCTAGGTCGAACTCCATTCTGAGGACAACCAGTCGGGCGGGAAAGTTTGGCGAGAAGAGGTCTGATGCTTGTTGCAAGAACAACCTCACTGACGTGTCTTCCAGTCACAGTAACGACCGTAGCGACCCTGGACGCAAGTCAGTAGTCAGCAGCACGAGCAAGCAATCACAAGCTTGCATCTATTAGCCAGCAACTATGGTTGAAGGTCGAGGGTCGTCGTTTTCGCATATTTGTCACAGTCCTGACCGACCTTTTGCCCTCTACGTCGTACTACGTAGTTGCAGTCGATGCCAACTAACTAGTCGACGATCCAAACCCTGACCACAAGTCCTAAGTCCCCTGCAAGTGATTACACAACTGCCCCAAGCCAGAGATCCGTGTGGAAGGACGGCTCGTCTTTGCGAGGCATGCAGGCTCCCAGCGACAGAAGCGGTGTGGGTTGTGATTTGATGGGATCAGGATAACAACGTGCGTGCGCTGCCGACAAGTGATTTGGACATAGTTTTTGCTGCGGGCTTTGCTGGCTTCATGGCTTACACCTGGGCGGTGCATGAGTCTTCTTCCTGGCTTGATGTTCGGGTTCGCGCTCTGACCCATGGAAGTAAACTGGCTTTACTCATGTGCTTTCTCGAATAAGTGTTTGTGTTTGATGGTGTGCTCGGGTTGATCATTGGTGGTACGTTACCAACACCTACTACCCTACTACCTAAGGTCGAACACGAGCCATAAGCACCGAAGAAGCAGTAACAAGCAGTCGTTTGTCAGTGCAAGGTCCAGAAATGTAGGTACAGGTGGATGCTTGCTTCTTGCTTCCATCCTTCCTGCAAAGTTTGGTTAGGCACAGTCTCCTTCCACCCGTTCCTAGTCACAGCTGCGTTGGCCCTCAAGCTTGAAACGTCGACACCCAGAAGCACCAAACCTTTAACTTTCAGCTCTAGACTTCGCTTGAAGGCGGGCTCCTCCAACATGGATGCAGTCGGAAATGCCACCGTACTTTCTGTGGAGGCGCTTGTCCGTGTGCGTTAAGTTCTTGGCACGGGGCTATGTCATCAAATGCGGTTGGAAGATCCGGCAGAGTCCTGAGAGGCGACTGTTGCACAACGCTAGCCTCCATCCAAAACTCTCTAGGCATCCGCCTTCCGCCTCAGCTTTCAAGCCGTAGCCTAGCAGAATTGGTCGAGGAGGGCGCTGCCGAGGGCTTGGAATGCCACTACTTCTACGACCAATCAGATTGTCACATCAAGGATCTCGGCAAACTGACCCCTTGCCTGAGTTTTCTGATGTTGGGGCATATCCTTCATGGATCTTTTGGAGTTTCGGAGCTTGTGTCTAATATTCTAGCGTGGAGGCTTAAGTGAGGGTTTGTATAATGTGTTTCCAAGCCGAATCTCCGACACCCGACGCCAACGACCCTGGAGCATCGTATTCTGGGAGAGGGAATATCCAGAGACGTGAGATGACATCTTTCTGTTTCGTTTCATTCGGATTTGAGTGTTCGGGCTTGTTGCGACGAGAGACAGCATGCTGAAGCTCCCAGTTACGTCAGAGCCGGTGATTTCCCGCAATCTCGGGCTAACGGGGACTTCAGGAGACATGCTGCTAGTTTGAAGGATTTTGCTTGGGGTCATACAGGAAAATGGGGTTGAAGAGGTTTAGCGTTACAGGAGGGTTCTAGGTTTTCAGGCTTCGGGCTACAGGCCTGTGGAAAAGGTTGGCTGGTCTTCAGGCTGGTCTTCAGGCTATCGTGGCTCGGTGCTTTTGAAGATCTCCAGCCGAACGGCGACGTTGGCAAATCTGCAAGCAAGGGTGAGGGATGGTTCAGGAAGCTTCGCGTTTGAGGCACGGAGTCCTCCATGTAAACCAACATGGGGCGATGCTCGACATTTGGATGTGCAGCGCCAAGGACTCCTGGAAATCGCGTCGTCGTGCCGAAGATCTGGATGGACAGGGACCTAGATTTCGGGTTATCCGCGAAGCTTTAGGGACGGCGTCGTTATTCTGGGGGGCAACTCAGAATTGAAAAGATTGTATTCCGAGTTGCGCCAGGTAAACGGCAAGTTCCCTGAGGTGAAGCAGGGCAATCACTTTTGCATCAGGCCGGGCCCCGCCGGCCCCAGCTCGGGCGTGTGTTCTTGCCAGAGCTCCAATTGCAGATGCGAGCAGGACACTATTGTAATTTGTGTAACATGTACTTAGCTTCTACCTACAAACCGTCGCTTGGCTCAAGAAAAAATGCACGTGCATTCTGGCTGTTTTGCCTATAAACATAGGTTATCAGCCGTAAGTTTCACTTTAGTTGCAAAAAAGCTCGCAATGGATCCTCCCGTAGGCCCTGCAGGCATACCTATACCTCGCTTGTGAACGGAGGAAGCGCCTTCGCTTCTTGCTATGTCCGTTCAGGAGGGTAGCACGGGTTTGCCTGTGATTGAACAGTCGCTCGCCATGCTAGGATGGGATGATCCCAGACGAAGGATTGCAGGTGCAGTTTCGGAATGGTGCTTCGTGAATTGCCCGTCCCAGGTCAACGCACCTCTAGCGAGGTCGCCGACAATGATTTTTCAATTTCAATAATCACCCAGTGAGGTCGCTCACATTGCAAATTTCTATCACAACCAAGTCCTAGCGCCCACCATCAATCACCAAGTCCTCGTACAAAATGTTACAGAATGATATGGGACCAGCTATAGCCACAGAAGCCGAAGCAAAGCATTCGCAATCATGCGCGAAAGAAATGAACATGTCAGGGAACAGGACGCAAGGCCTCAACATGAGGTGATTTCGGGTGCGACTCAGCTCAGACTAGAGTTTGTTCAAGATGAGACCCGTCTGCAGCATCAAGAGGGAGCAGTGCGAGCAGCCGGCGAACGCATGCTAACAAGCATTCGGTCGGAGGAAACCTCCCAAAAGCGTAGAAAGGCCCTGGACGTGAAGTTAAAATTTCACAAGCCGACTTCGATGAGGTGCTCCATCATGCAGAGCGTGAGTTGGCCGCCAATACACAAGCTCAAAATGCTGCCAACTCTATGTCAGGACAGCTTAATCCGCTGAGAGTTCAGATGACTGAGTTTATGACAGCTCATCAGATGCAAACTGGCAACATGTCATACGACTGGAGCACGACGACGCCGAGCTGGCGGAAGCTGAGGCGACACGCGGTATAGCTTTTGTGCCGCTGAATGCTTTTCAGTGCACGGGCCTATCTACCTCCAAAACACCATGTTATTGCGACTCCCCAGGAATAGGTGGAAACGGAGGTGGTCCGCCTGATGACGATGATCCCGACGGAGATGATGACGATAGTGACGGTGATCATAAGAAGAAAAAGAAAGTTAAAAATATGAAGAAAAACGTGATTCTTCCAGCGCTTCTTCGTCTATCGAGATTTCCACAACAGATCTGTTGAGAATGCTTAAAAGGTGTCTTGGTCCAAGTCCCAAAAAGAAAAGGGCGAGGGAACGGATGAGGAATGGAAGAGAACCCGCTCTCGGGTTCAGGACGTCGAGAAGATGTGTTCCCAAAGCTCTAGGAACTGGCGACTCCGTGTGCCAAAGGCCGTTGTGGCCGCCTCTGATCGACCAGACGAGTGTGGAAGGAAGGCACAACCGAGGACATGCTGCGTGACCTTGACGGGTTCAGAACTCTCGAGGCAAAGATCCTCTCCGTTATCAGCAACGTGCTCGAAGGCGATTTTAAGGAAAGAGAGGGGCATGAGAATCGTTTGGCCCATGGTAATTAGGCATATCCTGTTGATGCTTGACGCCTACCTTGCCACTAATGCACTTTATGGTTCCGTCCACGACATGGAAGACCTGCTTAATGAACGACAATCTCGTGCAATTCACTCGCAAGTGGGGCAAAGTCTTATCATGGATGAAGACTTCCATCGCCAAATCAAGAAGGCGAAAATGCTTTCTCACGACATCGCGATCTACGAAAGGGCTCTTGATGGATCAAAGGAGAAATCCTTCATTTTGGTATGAAGCTGCGAATCGCTACATCAAGGCACGTAGACTCGAGGAACGGATTGCAAAGCAAGCCGCAGTCGGCATGCCGTCGGCCCCCGTGCCGCTAAGGGGAGTGTCAAGAGGTTTCTGTATCGATTTCGTGCGCAATGGTTCATGCAGCAGAGACCAGTGCAAATATAAACATCAGGTGCCAGAGAAACCACATGGCAGGACACCTAGTGCTGGTGGAAAAAGTAAAACACGAGCACAATCGCCCTCCGGAAAGGGGAGCCCTTCTCCAGGTCGTGCTATTGTCGAGTGGAAATTCTGCAAGCGTGGTCGCTGCAATAATAAGGGTGATAAATGTCGCTTTGTTGACACAGGTCAGCCGAGTGCTCCTGCCCCTGGCAGTGGAAGGGAGTCAAGCGGTGAAAGGAAGGAAAAGAAGAAAGATAAAAAGGACAAGAAACGCAAACAATCACGATCCAGCTCGAGGTCCAAAGCCTTCACTTCCAGTAGCCGTGTGCCTCCTGGGTGCACTAGTCGCAGGTTCGGCGTCGCGAGCCGATGCACTCGCGTTCTGGAAGGATACGCCGAGCTTTGACGATTCGCACATCAACTCCACTCATCTAGTGCTGCACCTGTGAAGTTTTCAAGTTCCCTGGAATACCACTACATCCCCACTCCCACTAAGAATATGAAGTCCAAGTGGAGGCCACTCGGACACTAAGCACGCACGTTTAGCGAATAATTCCCAGTAAACTACAAGGCTGAGAAGCATAAGCAGGATATACGGGATTCGCAAGCCACAGCAAAGGTGTTGCGATCCACCATGGAAGGAAGACATCAACGTGTTGAAGGTACTTTCTCCTGTGGAAGATAGGCCCTTGTCGGTAGACTGGGGACGAAACGTTTGAACAAAGTTTTTGAAAAACACAGACATGAATTTCTGCATGGTTTTTCATGGTTGTTGTTTCCACTGTTTTCTTTCATGTTGCCAGTGGAACCATGAAATATGTGGGCTTTTCCGGTCCAAGGATGCTGTAGCATCTCGCGGAAAGTTTTTGTAAAGGGTCCTCGAGAGGCTCTCATTGTATGGGCCCTGGTCTATTAAGGCGGCCTGAGGCCTCGTGTACGTGGTCCCTACTGATGGCAGAAGGGGATACAGGCACCCCGCCTTTTCCGCCTGAACCTCCTCCAGGACTCTTGATTCCTGAGCTTTGTGAGCCTTTTTGCTGTCGTTGCCGGGGGTAGTCTCGGGACAGCATTTGGTGGAGTGAATGTCAATGAACCTGCTTTAGCCCCTCTTCGGTCCATGAAGGTCCCTTAGAGCATGTGCAGTCTGCTTGGGATCTTTTGGAGGATCCTGCTGCAGAGCCTGATAATCAATATCATGCTGATGATGAACAGGACTGGTACTCCGAGGTTCGCGATGATGAGCAAGCCATCGAGCCTCATGCTGTAGATGAGTCTGAGCCGTTTGAGGTGGTTGATCCAGATGACCCCTCCTGCCGTTTGTCAGAGTTTTCAGCCGCTAGCAGGTTTTATCTTAGGAGTCAGGAGGTCTTCGATTCTCTTCCTGAGGCCCTGAGCCCTGCTCGTGAAAACGATGATTTGAGGCGTGTTGCAGTAGAGCTGTCTGCCAAGCGTCGCCGCATGAACATTCCAAAGCTTCCTTGGGAGACGGGTCCCATGAGCTTGATCTTTTCGAGGAGACCTGTTGTTGGTGCACGTGACTGGTCTTGCTCTGGGGTGCTGTTGAATGCAGGTGCTTTTGAGCCGGCTGAGGCCGAGGTGCTCGGAGGTGTGGCCCCAGAAGAACTAGGCAGGTCACTGCAGCTTTTGGCAGGCGGCTCATGCGCATGAAAGCTCCCTCTTCAGAAGAACAAGTCAGAGCAGCAGCCTTGAAACGGCTTGAGGTTCTTGTGTGTCTTGACCCCTCTGCGTCAAAGCTTGGTATGTCTATGCTCGACCAAATTTGGAAAATCTTTGTGATGATGATGTGGTCATCCGCTCCATTTCAGATGCATTCAAGGCGAAAGCCTCGCAGACCTTGATCAAGCGAGCTGGCTCCCTTGAACGTTTTGCTAGCATCCCGTCGCCCTTTCGGGCTGATGAGTAGGTCCTGCATAAATATCTGTGTGACCTTCGGACATCAGGTGCCAAACCTACGTCTGCTAACCATTTCCTTCAGGCTTGGCGTTTCTTGCATGGAACCATTTGCTTGCTTCACAGCCCGCCTTCGGAGGTGATCTCGACTAGGTGTGAGGGTGCTTCAAGGGACCAATATTTGACCAAGGTGCCGTTGAAGCAGAAGTCCCCCTTGACTCGTGCCCAGGTGGAGAGCTTGAGCGCGGTGCCGTTGAGAGTACCGATTAAAGGAGGTTTGCGTTTTAGGGCAAATTTTGTTTTGCCTCCATGCCTCATGCAGGTGGTCAGACAGCCAGCACATTGTTAGCATCACCCGCCAGGAATCCAATGATGTTGTGTTGTTGGTTGTCGATGCTTTGACTGCGAAGCACACTTACTCTCAGGAGAACCAGCGTGTTTTATTGCCGTATGAAGCCCTTGGAAAGGGTTTGTCAGGACGTGATTGGTCCGAGGCGTGGGTCTCGACCCGCGAGGCCGAGGGCCTGGAGGTCGGCAAAGGTATGTTCTTGCCAAGCATGAAATCCGATGGTTCAGGTTGGCTAAGTGTCAAGATGAGCTCAACCGAGGGCCAGATGTTTCTGCAGGAAGCCTTGATTGGCCTTGATAAAAGTCGTGTTCCTTTGGCGCAGTTGGGAAGCTTAAGGCAACGCTTTTGAGAAGGGCCCAACGATCCTCCTTTGTGACCTTTAAGATGTGGGGACGCAAGCTGATGGGCCACCATTCTATAGGGATAAGTCTCCCTTGACCTACTCTAGGCAGGCCTATGCTTCTCTCAGGCCATGTTTGAGAGCATGTTGATGGCAGTTTTGATCCGATATGTGTGCAGCAGGCCACGTTGCACAGGTGGCCGCATCTTACAAGACAAAAGGTCGTGCCACATCCCGAGGTGTAGCACACAGGCAATTCGATGCTGAAGCAGCGGATGACAATGCCGAGCCACGGGATCATTCGTCTCGCTCCACCTCGGGTGAGAGCGCTCGCCAAGTGGCGGACGCCTTAGATCCTTCTGCTCTTCCCAGGACGCAGTTTGGGTGGATGGGACCGGTGTCACACGCATGTCGTGTCCGGTATCGTTCACAAACTTCGGGAGGGCGACGACTCAGTTTTTCGAGTGTGGGCGAATTCTGTCCGCAAATTACCTTCCTTTTGATAGAGCGGGAGTTTTGTCTGCTGAGCCGACTTGCTGTATACAGTGTCAGCGGTCGGGAGCATCGTGATTGGATGGTATGAGATGGAAAAATGAAAGGCAAGATGCACACAGTTGGGGGAACGTCTTTTTCCTTCCAGTGTGCATGTCGGCAGAACGGATCCACTTTCGAAACTGTAGTTCCGAGGTCAGTGGTCTGTTGTTGTGATTGAACACTCCTTCAGTTGAGCAATCAGTCTGTGCCACGTTTTCATCTCTGTTCAAGATGCTCGTAGAACACATGATTGGTTTCATTTTTGAATGTTCGAGGGCACAGCCACCCATCAAGTGATGGCCATTATTCGAGCTAGTACTGTGCTTGCTCAGTTTGTTTTAACATTGTATTTCTTAGCGACGGTTGATTGCTTGATATTTGGTCGCCATCTCTAGCCACAAAGCTGCTCAAATCATTCGGCATGCGTGCAACGAAGAAACACGGCATGTACATGCGAGTTGCTCTTACTCTTTTGCCGAATGTAGCTGCTTGCATTATATTCTTTCATTCAGTAGCTTTCTAAGTTTTTCCAAGCTAATTGTATATTCAAGCTGCCTGCGGCGCCATCTCATGGAAAGTTCAGTACCCGACGTATCTAACGTCGAAGAACTTCGTGTTTTCCCCGAGCAAGTGCAGGAGAAGCTGTTCAATCTTTCGACTTCTCTTCAGAGCATCCAATCGTGTCTTAATACCACTAACCTGCGATTAGACGCATTGGAACATCAGATTTCCAGTTTGGAGTATCAGACAGCAGGCAGTCACGGTGGCGGCATTCGCCGCGAACTCTCTGTGATAACCAGAGTAGTATCCGAGAGTGTTGAGCAATCGAACAGAGTTGCACACGAACTCGATCGAGTGCTCATGTGGCGCAATCGTTTTACCAGCGCACTGCAGTCTGAATTGATTTTGATCAGTCATCAAATAGCCGCAGCTTGTCCTCAATTGGACCAGAGGTCCAAATCCTTGACGCCCTGGACTAATTAGGTAAGCGATATGCCCACTTCAGACCATATTGCACAGGCAGAAGTGGAAATGGTGGTTCCTGCGACCTTGCATGCAGCTGCAACTCCTTCGCAAGGTTTGCAATCACCCACTCTGGCAGATCATCCAGTGGCATCTTTGGAGGTGGGAGACACGGGACACGTTCCTGTTTCTCATCAGGCAATCTGTACTGTCAAGCGATTTCGCAAGCGCTCTCTATCAGCACCAGATTTGCGCGCTTTGCCGTTGCTTGATTCCCAGCAGGCTTCTTTGTCTCAGGACATGCATTTTGTGTTGCCCACTTCCAAGGCATCGAATCATTTCCTTCCACCTGCTATGGAAGCCCCTGCCACCTTAGGGTTTATACCACCTTCCAGCAAAGCCCCATCTGGGTTATTGTCGGGTTTCAGGCCGATAGCACCTGGTCTGCAATCGGTACCTGCACCGATTCCCCCGCCAGTGCTGATGTGCTCGACTCCTCGAGTCTCTGCGCGGGGCCGTGTTTGCACCCAACAACTTCAGCCGCCGATCCACCATTCACCGGTAACTTTTGGTTTAGGCCCCGCACCCCGGTCCGTACTTGCTAGGCCTCCGGTCGGCCCATATACTCGTGAGGTAACCATGGCTTGCCCGCTGCCAAGACCTACGTTCAAGCCGAAGGCCACTTATCCGTCACCGCAGGACATCCCGTGTGCTGGTCCTGCCGTGCCCGAGTTCGTCATGATATTTCTTGGGAGGCTAAGACTGAGAGACGTTTGGTTGCAGCAATCAGGAAGTGGACGGCCATCGTGTTGAGGAGCCCAGATTCTTTTGATGTGGGTCGCCGGGCTACTGCTGAAGCGCCTTTGGGGATGCAGGTGTCACAATCTTTGAGACATGTTTTCTCTGGCAAGGCTGCGGGCACACTGCATAGCAGAGCAGACCCTCTCGTTAGATTTCTGGCGTGGGCGGGCCGACACACGTTGCTGGCCATCCCTTTCGTAGAGGCCGGCCTTTACAGGTTTGCTTTCGAGTGCGAGGCCAAGTGTTCCCGCAGTTTTCTTCGCAGCCTCATGAGCAGCATCACGTTTTGTCACTATGTGCTTGGGGCTGTTAGCGCGAAGGAGGCAATGGAGAGCATGCGACTTGTTGATGTGGCTCGAGCGTGCTACCTTACCAAAAGAAAGAGGCTGCAGAGACCTCTTCTCACAACTGAAATGGTGCAACGACTTGAAAGATGCGTGGTGTCACCGGGGGTGACAATGTTGATCGGCTCATTGTTGGCTTCTTCTTACTGTCTGTTTTCATGAGGGGTCGGTACTCTGATACACAGAATATGCACAATGTTCTTGAGGACCGGCTTCGTCCTGATCCCGCGGGACTCGGAGGATATTTGCAGGCTGACGTAGCCTGCTCGAAAAAGGCGTATACCACCGAACGCAAAACCCAATTACTTCCAACGGTGGCTCCTAGGCGTGGTCTGTCTGGAGAGGATTGGTTTTCTGCGTGGGATAAGCTTCGAAAATCAATGCGAGTGCCGGTGGGCGAGGGCAACACATTGGGCTGGTCATCCTCCGAGCAACATTTCCTGAGAACCAATGCGCTGCGGTTGGGACGCACTCGTGCAAGGCCACATGTTTGTCGTGGTGTGCTCGGTACGGCATTGACAGTTATGATCAACGAGTCTTGGGCTACCGTACCGCTCCAGGTGATCACAGTGCCCAGGTTTACAGTAGAGATGCGGTCTCCTCCTCGGTACGTGTTCTCGAGGAGGTGCTGGCCTCTATCAGGAGCCGTGAATTTGTTCCGGACAGTACGCGGTCTGGATACTTTCCAAGGGCTGATGATCCTCGGGCCGATTACGATGTTGAAGGCTCTGGTTCTGAAGCTTCTCTCGATGAGGCTGATTGTCAGGACCTTGAGAAGGCCTTGGATGAGGTCGTAGACCAATGGGCTGAGGAGGCCCCTAAGCGGGAGCTCAAGGCCGAGTTGCTTGTTCGCAATCGGGCTTCGCGCATGTTGCACCTGCTCGCTGATGAGAGCGGCAACGTTTTGACGTGTGGTCGCATGTGTACCAAGAATTATGACAAGGTGGCGGCGAAGCCTGCCTTCATGTATCCTATGTGCACTCGTTGCTTCAGTGCAGTGCAAGTGGCTGAAGCTGGTGATGGTGCGGATCTTGACCTTGGTGTTGAAGATCAAGGGTAATTTTGGACGTGTCCCTGAGGACGGTGTGCCTCTCGTGGCCCCGGCCGTGAGAGTCCCATCGAATCGGTGGGCAGGTGTGCTCTCTGTTCACCGGCCCCTGTGAAGTGTTGGTTGACGGCTGGTGTGTCTGCGTGACCCCAGCCGCGCGACAGTGAGAGTGTCGCCAATCAGCCTGTGTGGCGGGTGTGTGATTTGTTGTCGGGTGTGCCCTTAGGCCCCTGGACGAGTCAGTCATGAGTGCAGTCGGTATGCTGAGTCAATGCTTGTTGCGTCGCAGGACAATGGTCCTGTTTTGCACGCAAGTTTGTGCGGTGAGGCCAAACCGCGCATAATGACGTCGAATAAGCAGGCGAGTGCCTAAATCAGGGCTGGCGAGTGAGTGCAGCGTCTGAATTCCTGGCAGAGTGGCGTCCATCAAAGTTTAGTCAAGTTTAGTCATGAAGCAAGGTGTTGTGGAGTGCTGGACACCGAGGCTGGCTCAAGTTAGCACCATGAGTATCACTGAGAGTGAGGCCAAGTTCAGTGCCCGGGCCCAGAAGCTCGGTTTGAAGAATGATGCCGTTCAGTTGTTGGCAGACGGTGGCGTCAACGCACTGGCGAAGTTTGCGTATGTCAGCAGCTTCATACCTGGGCAGAGCGATGAAGCTCCTTTTGTGAGGGCCATACGGAGCTTTTCAAGAGGGATCCGTCGGTAGGTGAGTTAGCTGTGTTGCGTCGATTGCATTCCGAATCGTACGCCTTGGTCGCAGCTGAGTTGAAATCTCAGCTGGAACGCACTACCGATGCTCCCGCACGTAGCCTTGCAGCCCCGGATCGAGCTGATCGTTTGGCGCGCCAGGTTCAACGGTACCCAGGTCTGACCATCGCTGGCCCGAATGAACCCAGCGACCGATCGGTGGACAGGTGTTGCCAAATGTACGAAAACAATAGGTTGACCTACTCGCCGCTGAGTTGGTGCATGAGCAAGGACGATGAGACTAGGAACTCGCGTGATAAAGAGGATCGCACACTTACTGTTGACAACAGCGGGAATGTGCGCATTAAGAACGCTGACATAAAAGGTGAAGCTGATTTGAGCACTGATTTGCTCCTCAAATTTGCGCTGACGAGGCGCGGACTTGCTATGGAACAAGCGGGACTTCGTTATTTTCAAGAGCATGAGAAGTGGGCTGATAGACTCTTGCATTCCCGGTATCGTGATGTGCCTACTGGTTACACTAGGGTCAGCGTTCAGCAGTTGTTACAAGCCGACAAGCAATTGTTCGTTGTAGCGGCCAATGAGTGCCGTAGTGGGGTTGGGGTGCAGGTCACCGATGCCGGTCGTCCATTGGACAGTGCATGGATGCAGTGTGCTGATCAGACTGAGGTTGCTCATTTGTTGGCTCCTTTGGCACAGGCCCCACCGAAGTCCACCGGGTTCGAGCGCCCCACGCCTTATCGTGTCAATAAAGGTAAAGGTAAGGATGGGAAAGGCAAGCATAAGACGCGTCGCGAAGTTCAGATGCCAGCTGATTTGAAAGACGGGCGCTCGAGTACTCCAAAGGGTGTTCCGATCTGCTTTGATGCTCAGCGGAACAAGTGTACGCGTCAGCTCACAGGCAACAAGTGCTTCCGGGGAGCTCACATTTGCTGCTTTTGCTTCCAGCCTGGGCACTTTTATCCCACTTGTCCCAAACGCAAATCCGAATGACTAGGGTCCTGTGGCCCTGTCGGTAAAGTTGCACGTGTATCACCTGAGGTCGAGCCAACCGCTGCCGAAAACATTGAAGTATGTTCTAGTGGTGACGAGGGTTCCAATCTTGAACTCGAGGGCTCGGCGGAGGACCGGGCTGCTGCCCTTTTGGAGAGTAATGCTTTAGTTCACGGTCTGATTTAGCTGAGATTTTTGATTTCCCAGTGAGGGGTGATCCCGACAGCGGACAGTCCTCTTCGACTGGTGCCTTTTGTCGTGTCAAAACAGGGTTGAGAAGCAATATGGCGGCCTTCCCAAAGGTCAGTCAACTTGCTGCTCGGTTCGTCTGACAGCAATTACCCAATCATCGGTTTACCAGCATATCGATCTTTGAAAATGTGTGCACGGAACCGCGTGTTGATGCGCGAAACTCGTATCTGCCCAATGCCGTGCTTGCTCTAAGCAATTTTGTTGGTGGCCAGGTTTTCGGTTGAGGCCCCAGGTGGCCAGTCTTGGTTTGATGTCGGAGGTGAGCTTCGAGCTGGAACCGACCTTGACTTGCAAAAGTGCCATGCGATTTTCACTGCGAGGCGCCTTGTCCATTGCCACCCGCGAGTGGTCTGACCGACGCTTAGTCCTTGTTGCCTTTTCCATTTCAGCAGTGCATAATTTGAGTCAGGATGACGCAGACACATTGCATTAGCTTGAGTTCTCGCTTCCTTCGCAGAACGATCTTGAGGAGGCAGCTGAAGCGCCGCCTGTATGCTTCGGTGTAAGTTTCGTCGATGGTCCTGGCACTGCTACCGATGAGTTCCCAAAGGCTTTACCTGTTGCAGAGACCCGTGGTGAGGAGCCGCCCCAGAGCGGCCTCGGCCCATCTGCTCATGTTTCGAGTGGTCTTACCCAGCCCAGCAATTCTTCAGAGCCTGGTATCATGCTTGAATTGTTCGCCAGAACTGGAATGCTGTCGCGCGCTTTCCATCAGATGGGTTTCGAGGTTATTCCGGTTGATAAGGGTGGTCACCGCCTCCCCGTTGCCAAGCTGTGCTCACTTGATCTCGCTCTCGCGAGTTCGTGGCAGTACCTTTCGCATGTGCTTGAACACTTTCCTGTGCGGTACATACATGTTAACCTTCCATACGCTACTTTCGGGCCGAAGCATGGTTTGAGGAAGGTGGTTGAAAACGATGTCGTGTCAGCGCCTCTGCTGGGTCCCGACAAGGTGCAACGTCTTGCTTTAGCCGATGTCTTCGTCGATCAGGTTTCTCGCTTCCTGCGCTTGGCTCAACAGAGAGGCATTGCCTGGACTCTCGAGCATCCTCAACCCAGTCTTCTTTGGTACTTACCAGAAGTTCGCCGACTCGCCGAGGGATCTCACCAAGTTGTGTACGACTTGTGCTCCTTTGGCTCACCTCATCGTTTGCGTCGTCAGTTGTTGACTTCGTGCCCCAACCTTGCGGAGCTTGGTTGCTTGTGCGCCGGTAACCATTCGCATGTTCCCGTTGAGACTGGTGTGGATATTCATCCGAGGCTCTTCTGCCAGCGAGTTGCTGCGATGGTGGGCAAAGCCGCTGGTTTTGCCCCCTCTTTCCTCTCCGCTTCAAGACGTCCCGCCGCCTGTGGCTCAGCAACGCAGAGGCAAGATTGGATCTAGCCTGTTGCAAGAGTTCGGGCATGTCTGTCGTGTTACAGTCAGCGCCGTCCCGACCGTCGATCACAAAAATTGTTTGACCTCTCCCCTAGGAGATGCTCCCGTGGGCTCCAAGCTCATTGCTACTAGTGTTTCGGGGGAGTCGGGCAGCATTGAGCTTACTCTTGGCATTTATGCCACTCCTGACGAATTTCTTGACCGTGCTCGAAATTTGAGGCATCCGTTTGAGTCCTTTGCCGTTGTGCCTGACCTGGACAAGCGCAAGCTGCATGAGGCATTGACGAAAGGACCTGAGTGGATCGTGGCCACTCTCACGAAGTGGCTGCAGTGGGCTTGTGAACTTGAGGAACAAGAAAGGTTCTTGAAGGCCAAACTTGAACCGGGGGTGAGTCGCATTTTGGGCGCCCAAACGGCTACTCTTGTTGAAGCGCATTGCTGATGATCTTCAGTGGCCTGATGCGAGTTGGCTTGAGGACACTTGCAAAGGATTCCCGTTGGTGGGGGTGGAGAAGCCCACCGGAGTGTTCAAGCGTGAGCCTCGTCCCCGGGAAAGGACAGCCGATGAATATGTGCGCTCCGCCTTGCTGGATGAGGTCCGGTCTGAGGGTGTTGGCGAGCATTCTGCCGAAGTGTGGGATAAGACGCTCGAGGAGGTCGCTGATGGATTCTTGGAAGGCCCACTTATCTGCATCGTCGCTACGGGGACAATTGGACCCCTGTTCGGCGGTTTGTCGTCGTGCAGTCGTCTGGTGGCAGACGTAAGTTACGCCCGCTAGATGACTACTCTGAGAATTTGGTTAACGGCTCGTTCTCTTACGGAGACAAGATTGATCTTCGCGCGTTGGATGAAATAGTTGGCATGTGTCAATTGTGGATTAGGGCACATACCACGCATCACCAGTTCTTCTTCGAGATGGAAGCGGGCCCCCCGCTGGGTAGGGTTCATCCTGCTTGGTTGGGTGCCCAGGTTGTGCACATTTGACCTCAAGAATGCCTACCGCCAGATTGCTCTCAATCCGTTGAGCCGTGCTTACTCAATTGTCGCTTTGCTTGACCCGACCAGTGGTGATTTGGGACTGTTTGAAGGTAAGGCTTTGCCGTTTGGCAGCACGGCTTCGGTGCTGCATTTTAACCGCCTGTCGCGGCTGTTGTGGAGAGTGGGCCTAGAGGTCCACCCGTTCTGGGCTAATTTCGTGGATGATTATCCGGTCATGAGCCCGGAGTGTCTATCGCATTCCACTATGAACACTATGATGATCTTATCGTCAGTACTGGGTTTTGGTGCCTCGCTTGACAAGTTGAATCCCTTTGCTGGGGTTGCGACAATGCTTGGAGTCGAGGTGGACTTGAATGAGGCCTCGGCAGGGTGCATCCACATAAGGAACAAGGAAGGTCGTGCCAGTGACGTTTGCAGCGTCATTCGTGATTGCATCGAAGTTGGTCACATCATGCGCGACTTTGCCAAAGTGGCAGGGCGAGTGCAGTTCTCGGATGCTCAAGTCATGGGCAGGTCTGGCAAACTTGCTCTGGCCGACTTGCGCGCTGCATCGATGTGCCGCGCTGCACGCCTTGATTTAGGCCCTAAGGAGGTCCAGGCTTTTCAGTTCTTGGTTGATCGCCTGTCTTTCGGTTCTCCTAGGATAGTTCCTTGTTTGGTTGCCCCTAAGCAGTCTTCACCGATGGTGCAAGCGAGCCCTCGGGACACACCATAGGTGGAATCATTTATGCTCCCGGCATTACACCAAAGTTCTTTGCTTGCGAGGTCCCTGAGAACCTCACTCTCCAATGGCGACAGCAGCTTAAACATATCATTGGACCTGTCGAAGCTTACGCTTTGTTGGTTGCCAGAAAGACTTTCCACCAATACCTGTCCGGTCAGCATTGCATATGTTTTGTTGACAATGATGCGGTGTTGATGAGCTTCATTCGAGGCACATCGAGTAGTGGCATCTTCAGAGATATCTTACTTGCATGGGAGGCCTGCGAGAAACATGGCTCCTCTTGGACTTACTGGGCCCGGGTACCATCTGCATCCAATCCTTCAAGCAAGCCTTCGCGTGGGGTCGTTGCTGAGCTCCTTGAGTCGGGGGCCACACGCCTCCGTTGCACGTGCCCGTTCCGTGGCCGCAGTCTAAGAGACTTGTAGGGTTCTGTAGTGTCTCTTGGCGGGTTGCATAGTATAGGGGAGGCCGGGCAACCCAGTTCGCCCCTGTCAAAACGAAGAGGTCCGAGTGCTGTTTGCTTCAGTCGATGTTTACCGGAATTCTCGATTGAGCATTGTTCATGAACACATTTTGGATTTTGAGTTTTTCCACAAGCAAAAAGTACTTTTGCTGCCGAGCGCAGCGATGACAGCTAGTACCGTTTTGCGCTACAGACGAGCCACTGTGGTGGCGAGCGAAGAAAACTCAAAATCATTCCCTAACCCGTGTGCTGCACTCCCACCTTAAACTTGGCATTTTGAAGTTTCTCACTTTGCTTGTGCTTGAAATGAGAATTTCTCTTGCAGAGCTTGTTCAAGGTGTGAGCCGGGTTTCGACATACCCGCCCTCCGCACCCGTCGAGACTTCTGCTGTGCAGCCTTTACCGTCTTGCTCAAATGGCTCGTGCGACGACACATGCCAATGCACCGTCCTGCAGCCGTAGTTAATGTCGTGGTGGGCTAACATGCCTACCTGAGGAGGAGCGCCTAGCCCACGGCCTAAGGCCGGGCAATCCAGTTCGCCCCTGTCAAAATGAAGAGGTCCGAGTGCTTGTGAGTGCATGCAGTCATGACTTACATGTTCGCTTGTTCGGACACCGAGAGCATGTCGCACTTGTGTGATTGTTTGCTTCAGTCGATGTTTACCGGAATTCTCGATTGAGCATTGTTCATGAACACATTTTGGATTTTGAGTTTTTCCCACAAGCAAAAATTGGCTGCTGTACCACCAGGCGTCGACGGACTGTGTCGTGGCCAGCTCAACGAGTTGCTCGCCAACATGCCGTACCACCAGCGGAACCCGGAGTACTTGATGGACAAGCGCATCGGAATGAGCGCACGTGCCAGAGTGACTATATCGGTGCCTGCTCAGGACGGTTCCTCCTAAAGCTACAACACCAAGGCGTGGACGCAGCTCTGACGAGAGTGCAACAGGATTTTCTTCGGCACCAGATCGTAACAGGACCATATCTCCAATCGCACGTGTCCGGCCGACCAAAACACATATCCGGACGGAGGGCATCAATGGATCGCCTTCCTACGGGATAGGCCAACTGACACCAGCGGAGCGGGGTCATCGAGAGACGTGCGACCTCCGGCCAATCCAGCACCACGACGTGTCAACCGGGATCCTCCAACTACATCCGTGATGCTGACTGGTCCGCGATGGCATCAGCTCCGGAAACGGCAGCTCCCGCACCTTCTCGTCGAGATGATGTCGAAAGCGTGGCTTCAAGGACCACGAATGCCACTGCCATCGACCTTTCACGACGTGCGGCGCCTTGGGCCGAGCCTTATCGGCGTCGCCCGGCTGATCCTCCGGTGCTCGGTGTGTTCTTCAACACCCATGGCGTTTCTGATCGCGAAGTCCGAGCTCGAAAAGTCACCGTTAACTTCTTCGAGCAATTGCAGACTGCGGGATTGCTATACCCCGAATTTTTGCCTGGGCTATGATGCATCTGGAGAGATCATCGACCCCGCTCTAGCGAGCCGGGCTGAATGGAACCGTGTTGATTCCTGTCAGTGGGCTGTTTTCGCTGCCATCACCGAGATTGTGGTCCATGCGGTCCATGCAGAATGCAGGGCATGCGATCGACATGATCCCCACGCATCAAAACCTGCATGGATTCACCAACTTCGACAGGTCGCATGTCCAATGGTACCTGAGCCGTTGGCAGCACATGAAAATTACAACCACCGCGCTGGACATCGTGAGCGCCAGTACTGACGAGACATGATTCACCTCCCTCACGGGACGGTACTCTGAGTCATGCTTAAGTACTCGTTTCGCTAGAGGTGAATTGATCTTTCAACGTTCTCGGCACCACCCCAACGGGTCGGTTGCAGCTTCTGGCTAAGCTTATAAGCTATAGGGTGAAACACGGCCAGCTCCTCTTCTTTTGTGAGTTACAGTCTTTCGTTTGCATCACAAAGTGATGTGGTTACGATGGCTTAACAGCTAGTTATTAGTCTTTCCTTACACCTGTGCCTTCGCCTCTACCGTTGCACTTGGATGCGTTGGGGGTGTATTTTGTGTAAGATGCAGCTAGCTTATACGTACAAACCGTCGTTTGGCTCAAGAAAAAATTGCACGTGCATTTTGGCTTTTCCGCTTATAACATAACTATTTGCACCATTGCTGTGGTGTCGTTGTCATTTAGTTGCACCGGGTGCGGCATGCCTTTGAGGTGGAGTTTGCTAAAGGAATCTGCGCTTATCCCCATCCCTAAACTCGGAACCGCAGATCTTCAAACTTGGCCCTGAACTATCTCGTGCAGCCATGCCCAACCGAGTATGCGGACAGTCGAGCAGCCGCTAGAAACACGCCCCATTCCAAAGGACAGGTACATTTCAGAGGCTGTTCCTTGAAGAGCTTTGTCCGAAACTGCATACAGAGCCAATCTGCCCGGATGAGGTTTTGTTTTAGTCCATGAACGAAGATTGCGGTTCTGCGATAGTACCAATAAAAGCTTAACAACTACCAAGCTCATTGGAACAGTTGATGAGTTCAAGATTTAAGGGAAGTCCTGGAATTCTCGCAAGTGTTCCAAGTTTCTTGAGGAGTGGGGATTAGGAGGGTCAATGCCTGGAATCGCATGTGGTTCAGGTTGCTGAGCGCGACGTGTCCTCGGCCCCTCACCGGCCCAGAAACTCTGCTTGTGCAATAACGCCCTTGTCCCATACACAGTGAATGCGAAACCGTAATGCGCATCCTCGTGGCAAGGGAGTTCTGGCTCCACATAGGCCGTAAGCCCATGGGTTGACTGTCGAATCCTGGACCTTCCCTGGACCGCAGAGCCTGCACTCCCTTGCAGAGGTGCACCGGTCAGCTCATCATCAAAAAGGAGGGCCAGTACAACTTCTTTCTCAGTTCAGACGACGGTGCCTTGTCCAGATACCAGCTGCGGCAGTCATTATGAGCATGTGCCCAGCTGTTTGGTCAAGCAGCATCTGACAGGCTCCAAAATGAACGACAAGCAGGTTGTGGACAACGACGGCTGCCATGGGGACCGTGAGCGCGGGAGCAGCAAGGCAAAGTACACTGCTGGTGCGCACAAGTTGGTGGTGGATATGTGCGAGCGGGGTGGCGGAGAGGTTGGCTTGTTGCCGAAATTCCATTGCCCAATGCCTTGACCCAAGCCCAAACCTTGAAGCTGAAAACCGGACAACATCTTGAAACCTGAACTTTCACAGTCGTAACTCTCTTGCATAAAGCCAACGCACACCGAAAGCCCTGTTGTGAGGTCTTGAAGATGCGGTACAAGGGACCTGACACAGGCAATTCCAAGAAGGCAGTTCCCAAGTCGGCGCTGCGCCTCCCTATGCAGAAGCAACTGGGCCGACCGAAGTTCAAACAGGCGAAATATCCCGAAGAGTTTAGGGACCGTGGACTCTGTAGGATTTTTAACTTTGCTGATGGGCGTGTCATCGTTCCGAGGCTTGGAGTGGTGTCTATGGAAGTCTGTGGTCAGGTCAGGGTTGTTTGAAGCTCAGTCCAAAATGTCGGTGGGAAGCACTTCTGGGGGCTGACCGTTCTGTGTACAGCAGAAGACGGCCAAGAATCGCAATCGACTTCCTGTGCCCGAAATGGCACTGCGCTTCAAGAACTGGGCGATTCTGAAGTTCTACCGGATGGCCTCAGAGCAGCAGCTCAACCCACGAGTTGGTCCTCCTTTAGGGCCAGCCCTAAAGAGTCCTCCAAATGCAGTGAGAACGTGGGGGGCAGCGGCCTCACTGGCTTTGGCCTTCCAAAGGTCAGAGTGTGCTTGAGGGCTAGCGGCCCTCAACGTAACCCCAGGCCACGCATTGATGGTTGACAGGAATCCAGGAAGCACCCACCCCAAACCCTGCCAATCCCAGGTGCAAGGGAACTTTATTAGACAAGCCGAAAGACGACGTGGCTTGCGACAAGATCAAGGACTCCGTCGGCTTGTCTACAGAGCTCCATATTTTTTTCAAGCACTTGTGTCTCGACGTGGGATTTCTTTGCTTTGGCTTCCTCGTTCCGCTATCCGTTTTGCATCCCGCTGCTGTTGCTTGATTCATTTTTGTTTATTGTTTTTTATTTAACTTTACGTTGCTGGTTGCTTTGTTGCTTTCAGTTGTTTGCTATCTGTTGCTATGGCTGCTAACGCCTTTGCTGCCTTTGCTTCTTATTCTTGTTTTCCGCTTTGCTGCCTTCAGCTGTTGTTGCAAGATGTTGCAAGTGGGGGGGCCGCGCCCCAACCCACTGCTTCTTGTTAAACCTTGCAAAGGGGTCTTGTGCTGTCGCAGGCGGGTTCTCAGTTACCAAGATGAGTGCTTTCCAAGCCGGTCATTATGTCATTGAGTCATTGTGCTTGCTAGATCTTGCTAGACCCCGCGGTTTTCTTCTAACCTAGCTGACCTTGCTATGAAGGACCTCGTGCCGTTAACGGGTTGAAGACATATGACCACCCGCCATTGCTTAGCCCAATGAAGGGGCGGCTGTAAGAAATGTGAATAACCGCCATCGCATGGTTTACGGGTTTAAGCCGACCGCAAACTGCGGGACGAGACTAAAAGATGTCATCATATGCCATCGGCGGAGGAGGGGGGGGGGCGCTAGGGCCGCTAGGGCGGATTTAAGAAGGAGCAACTGCACTCTCCCAAAAGCCGCCCATGCCACGAGCCCGAAAGGCCGAAGAGTGTCTGCCAGGCCTCGGGAAACGTGTGGAAGTAAGGGGTGATGTTCTTGTTAGGAGAGAATGCGCACCGAGGCGGGAGCTGATGGGCAACATAAAAGCAGCCGAACACCAACCGCGCAAAAGGCAGGTGTCATTATGATCCAGCTGCAGGAACCACGAACATAGTTGCATGCTTCAACCGGTAAATTCAGGGTGCGAACCACCGACGAAAGCGAGCACACCATAGTGAAGAAGAGGACTGCATGCTTGCAGCCTCCGGGCTGTCAAATGTTCGTTCTGCTCAGCTTCAAAAGCGGGGCTGTCCAGGCTTATGCAGCTCAAACAGCTGCTGATGCACCGTTTTCGGACATGTCTGCACTTTCATCCGCCGCCTGTGGAGCTTCGAAGTCGGCAGTTGCGGGCCAGACTCGTCACTCCGAACAAGAAGGAGCATCCGAACGATGCTTATGGAGCCGGTTTGGGGTTGTTCAGGACATTCTGCTGCCAGACTCTGACCCCAAGGTGTTTGGCACCCGAAGAGATGTGAGTCCTAGGCAGCTCAAGAGCAGCCTCTAAGCCCCGAGTTTAGCATGAAGAGCAGGACAAGAGCAAATGCAAAGACCGCTACGAACGGGCACATGCCTCAATTGGTGGGGGGGGGGGCAGGTTGGTGCCGCAGGATCAGTTGCGACTCAACGCTTCAGGGGATTCCACTTGCATTGTTTGGATTAAGGGCATTCCGGTGCTGCCTAGGGTTCGATTCCTGATTCACTTCGTGGCTTGTGATGCAAAGTTGCACGTGCCTTCAGACAATCATTCGGTGTCGGTATTCACGTTGCTTTGAAGGCCAGTCTTCAGGGATGACTACGACTGCAGTTTTTGGATCTTGATTTGTCGTGTGTCTTCAAAGCTACATGTTTGCGATTTGTGTGTGTGTGTCAGGGCTGCTCGATGGGAGCGATTATGGACTTGAGGTTTTTGCAGCAGTGGGTTTATAGATGATCAAGTAATGACTTGTACAGGATTTAGGAGTTTCGCGAAAGGGGTCATGCCGTGGCAGCAACCTCAAATTAGAGCCCGAGAACGGGCAACACACGGCTTCAAGATGTAAAGAATTGCCAAGCTGCGAGAGGCACTATAAAACCTCTTCAATCTGCCGTAGGTTGTTCAACCTTTCCCCAAGCCGAAACACCATGCTCTTGTTGAGCCGCTACTAGGTTGCAGGCTTCGTCTGGAGCATGTAGCAAAAGCACAGCGGCACGGAGTTGAAGACCGCACGAGTTGAGGTACCATCAGTGTCGCATTTCATGCTGCTCATAAAGCGCAGCAAACCCAGAGTAGCAACCCTTCGAGTCCGACTCCCGAGCCCGAAGACCTCTGCCTTGCCTTGCCCGTGGGTTTCTTTGGCTTTGCTTCGGTTCTACCTGTTTTGGCTTGAGGCTTTGGGCGTTCAGGATCTTGCGGGCTTGGTGCTCTGGTCGCCCCTTGTGAGGTGGCCCAAACTGACACTTACCTCCAATGCGCTCCGACGGATGCTTCTCAGGAGGCCTGCTAACTTACATCAGGTTCTCTTCCTTGTTTTGAGATGGCTTCAGCTTCGGGGGGATGGTTCGGGAGTGCATTGTCTGTGATAGAACGGCGCACTGTGTCACCGAATGTCAGATCAATACCTGCATCAATACTGCTGACAAACGCAAATCTGTCAACTCTCCGACACATGTGTTTGGACGTCCACAGCCCAACGTCTGAAAACCCGGATTACCCAGCCCGGCAAAGAAACTGCAGAGGTCCGACAACTGTATAGGCATCGGCCCATAGGCTGTGCAGCCCAGATCTTGAGTTTTGGACCAAATTTGCAAGTCCTTCATCTCGACAAGAGTGTTGTGTTGTGAGACAGCGGCCAACACATCAGAGGCTGGCATCTTTGGCCTGGCTTTTTTGCGTGTATAGTATAGACGAAGCCGCAGGTTCTGCCAGAAGCTCGCTTGTGCTTCCTCGGGATGTCGGTTTGTCCTCCTCAGGATCAGCCAAGACCAGATTCAGGGCAGCAAAACATCAAGATGCAAAGCCTGATGCCGAGGACCTGGTTTTCATCATAGACATGGCTTTTCAAGTCTGCAGCCCAGAAGTCTGCTGTGGCCCCATTCGGCGCAGACATTGCAACGGCGCCTGGCGCCTGGATGCAATCTTGAAGTTCTCCTCATGGTGTTACTCACGTTTTCAAAGCAACGGGGGACGCTGAGTTGGTTAAGAGGAGAGGCCGCTGCGTGAGCCAAACGGTCATGCAGGTCTACCCCAGGAGATAGCGACTTCCGCTTTTATTCAGGAGTGGCCCCTGGAACGAAGCGCGAGGTGCTTTCCAAGCTTGCTGCAACAAGCCGAGTGGTGAACTCAGAACAACATCCGCACTGGCCCACTGGGACCTGGTCCAAGTGTTGCCACATGCGATGATTAGGTCGTGCTGGGAAAGATTGGAACTTAGATGCATCGTCTACGGTTATGCCTTCGACTGTGGCCACCTTTCTCGCAAGATGTAAATGAATTCGCCGGCCGGGCAGTGCACAGGTGCATTGTGGATCTATCCAGGGAGCAAGAGAGAGGGCGAGATTCAGAAGTCTGGAATCGAGCCTGAAACGGCCGGGACGTTCCTCTCAAACTCTCCCTCCCTGCTCGGCCTGTTTGAGTTTCCGGGATTTCTATGCACCGGCTATGGTTATGCTTTTGACTGTCGCCACTTTTTCTCGCGATGTAAATGCCTCGCCGGGTGCATGTGGATGCAGCCATGGGGCAAAAGAGAGGGCGAGATTCTCACTAGATTTCTCAGCAGGAACTGCTGTCTGGATGGATCGAGGCTTGTGCAACGCAAACTGCGCGGAATCTGGTCTGGGCAGAGTGTTGTCCGGTGTGTCGAACGTCCATAATCCGGGCCACCAAAGTGCCGCATGCTTGCCGCAATCCCGCCTTGTCCGATCTCCTTAGAGGTTTTATGGGCTTTGGGCTTTCCACGCGAGATTGCCAAGAATCTGTCAGCATGTTCATCGACCGGCAAAGGCGTCTTCGGCTTGTCTGGAATGAAATACTGTTCCGAAACCAACAAGTGCTATAGACCTTTACGTGCGGTTGCGGTGCTAGGGGCACGTCGGATTGCGAGATAAAAGCCCGAGATGCGATGCCCTCTTTCGCATGAACACAAAGTCAAAGCCTGCAGCGTCGCCACATGTGCATTGCAGAGTCTGTTTCCCGTACAAGGTCCGAGGAATCCGGACGTAACTCGTGGCATCTCTGATACACGACTTGAGCTTTCCCAATGATGTTCTGAACATGGGCAGCAAAGGAGACCAAAGATCAAACAGCCTCTTCTGACATATTTTGCCTCGCCTGACATATTCTGCGGTAACCCTCCCATCTGTGTGTGTCAGGGACAACTCCAGTATTGCACGTCATCAGAAATCCGATTCTTGACAGGTGAACGGGCTCATCAATTGCCTCGCACAGGATCCATGCCACCTCTGAGTTGCTTTGGAAAGCCCAAGCATCTTTGAGTGCCCTGAGCCCGAAACCTTCTGATGTTTAGGACAGGACGTGGTCCTGGTAGCACAGTTTAGCCAAGTGCTTGGCTACTTGCGCGAGACCGACTTGGGTGGGACTTGGCAAGGAAAAGGAGACGCAAGTGGTACCTGATCTGCTTTTTCTAGGATTGTAAGGGGCATTCTCGATTAGGTCAATCTGTTAAAGCGGTGCCTATGCCCAGGCTGCTGACCACATTGCCGCAATGCTTTCAGGTGCAATAACTAAGCAGTTGCACTTTCTCACTTTGTGGATTTCATCGTGAGCCAGGTCTTGATTATGATATGTTGTTTCTTCGTTTTGTTGCTTCTCGTTTGTTTGGTGGTTATGTAGTGTTTGTTCAAAGCTGCCACGAACGCAACATGACGGGTCTCGAACTGTCAGCGTATTGATTGGCTCACACTGAAAGCAGTGACTGAGGCTTAGGACGGGTCCGAGTTTCGGCCTGCGATGCGGGACTGTTCTAAATTGGGTTCGTTCTGGAGGGTCCGTGTTGCACTGTTCGAATGTGTGCCCAGAGACACAGCAAAGCGGCCTTCATGTGTGCCAATCCTCTCGAAAGCCCGTGACCCCCAAGCCCGAATCGTATGATGGGGAGCTCTAAAGTTCGCGTCTGCCATGTCCCTGATGTCTGGCTTTGCGCCTCGGTGTTTTCATCTCAGCGCAGCCAGGATTGGGTGTGCACTTCAGGATGTAGAAACCACAAATGTACCAAGTCTGAACCTGCAGATTCTGATGAGATGTCCTTCAGAAGATTCGAAGATTCTGGGAGATCCTTTCCCACCTGCCGCGGCCTGCGAAGGTTAGTAGGTCGCATCAAATCTTCGGGATTCAAGCTTTCGACCTAGGCCTCTTGCGGCATCTCAAAGGTTTTGGAGCCCAGTGCGTTCGGTTTGCTTCCGACCAGGTCCAGCCCGATGTTGTCTTGCAGAACAGGTATGGCACCTCATCGAAAGACGGAAATCCGATGAGCACTGTGTTCGAAGAAGAGCTGGTTAAAAGCTCCGATGTCCTGAGTCGAAGTCTGGCGTACGAAGTGTATCACGTAGCCTCGTTTATCTTGACATAAACATGTCCCCAGGGCCGGCTGCTTCAGGTGCTGGGTCGCAGATTAGCATCGCTTTGTGAAATCTGCCGGTCGGAGGGAGTAACCAAGGATCTGCGGAGGCTAGGAGGCTAGGCACAAGGCCCATAGCCTTCTTGGTATTACACTTGATGCATCATTAATGCAGAAGCCGGGGATAAGCCAAGGACAGGCACCTGTTACGCGCGTGCCCTTGGCTTAAGTATCCTGTACACATCCATGTCTTATGCACAGATAAAGGAGAAGCAACTTGTTTCGTGGAGTTTAGTCAAGGCCTCGCTCGGCCTCGCAGATGCCGCAGGTGCTGACCAACACCGCGTCGGTTCCCGACTAGCAGGCGCTCAAACACTACCAGGCAGAGTGAGATTCGCAAGCTTACCTTCAGACAAAAGGCTAGCCACCTCATCACTGAGCCGTGTTGGGTCTCGGATGGGGCCGGGCATTCATGTCGTGTGCTTGGGACTCGCACCGTGCGCAATAGACCCGTACGTTTTTCGGCAGACAGCAGCACTAAATGTGGTCAAATGATATCAAGCCAGATATTGTCTGTGGCGCACATGAAACTTTACCGTCCTCATGGTTTAGAACACCGGATCGACTTCTGGTCGCATTTTGTCATCCGGCTCCAACACGGCACCGTACCATGATCTCTCTGACAACCGAAGACTGCCATGTTGACCGGTGCCTGTGAGTATTGTGGCTGCAGGCCGTCGCGACCGGTAATGGCAACTGAGCAGTCTGAGGCTTGGGGGTTCTTCGGGTTCTAAGTATCCGGCCCCAAAGTTGGGCTTCGAGGGTTTCGTCCAGCGATCTGCTGTGCTGAGAATCGAGTTGAAGTTCTGCTCATACCGATGCTTCATGCAAGCATGTTTTCACAGCAATCACAGCAGTCCGGCTTGATACGGGCTCTCACCATGTGTGACAAAGACTTCAACATGGGTTGCAGCGTCGAGTGCCACTGTCACAAGAAAGCATACGCTGCACGAGACAGTTGGCCCTATTTCTGTACACCTGAACCACGGCTTGCTCCCGGACGCCCAGAGCAGTTGAGAAATCAGAAACACCAAGCAACGCCTCTGACAAGATCATGAAGCGGGCGCCGTGAGCCAAGATTCGGTCGAAGTATGCCTCAACAGTCCTTTTTTATGTCCACGTCTAAGAGCTCCAGATGTGCAACTAGGTGTTCATCCTAGGGCTTTAGAACAGGGCTTGCAGCTGTTTTACATCCAGCGACATTCACGCAGGGCATGGTTCCTTTCCATCGAACCCGACAGATGAAGTTCTAGGAACGGCCCGATGCCAAACAAGAACCCCGGAACCCATCAGGGCTCCAGACCCCAGGGAGTGCTGTTCCCTTTCTTGGCGCCGCCATGGCGTCGGTCGGGGCCAAGTCTGACTTGCTCAATGTCCTGGGAGATGTCAAAGCCCGTGTGCAGGAGCCGAGAGTCTCGGGATCCAGAAAGCACAAAGCTACCGAACCACGAAAGGCCCATACAAGAATAACTCCAAGGCTCGGCCGCGAACGCAAACAAGCAGCTTGCTTTGGGGTCTTCCTAGAAGGACGTCCAGGAGCTGGGGTTTTGGCGTTATTATCAATGCCTGAGGTCTGAAGCTTGCCCCCAAGACCTGCTTTTAACGGCACTCTGATCCGTCAGCCAATGAACAACCGTGTCTCTTTAGAGGTCGAACTTTGGTGAATCTCTGTGGGTGGTTCCCTGGCTCTTTTGCAGACTACGCCGTCTGCACCACTTATCCATCTTCTTGCGGAAGCATGAAGGTCGCAGGATTGATGCCCAACTCCTTCAGGATGGCTGTTAATGTCGGTAGCTCGCCTTGGGAGTCGAGCATACTCATGTCATGAACCTTGATGTAGTTACGTGTCGTCCATTTGGTAGAGCGTTCCTGCTGTGTGCGGGTGACCTGTGCTGCACGGTTCAACTCGCAGCTTCTCCTGCGCGGCTGCCTCCGGGGCTCAGAGCTCTGCCTGGTGCAAGCAGGGTCTTGGATTTTACTTCTAGGCTTCAGCCTAGGTTGTGGGTTTGTTTCTTGCTGTACCAGCTTGAGCGCTTAAAGGCTCTGTGGGATTTGTCATCGCAACCCCACCGCACGCTATCAAGTGGTGTACAAGACGTGAGAGTTCAAAACCAGAGCGATCCTGAAGAAGTTTGTGACCGAAGAGGAAATTTGCAGAATGCTGCTGTGTGTTCTCTACTAGCGCCGGCATGATGTAGATGTCTGCAGGGGGGACAGTCCTGAGCCTCGAAAGGCTCGATCAGAATCCTGCAGACTCTTGAGTGCAGAGGACAAGCTGGGGATCGTGGACTTTCCGATGCCCCAGTTCATTTTGATCGGACGCCAGTCCGTGGGCAAGAGCCGGCTCATAGAGGCACGCAAGATTCTGCGCCAGGGAGTCCTCAAGGTGGAGACGGTCTTTCAAGGATCTTGGCCCAGCAGAGCCTCCTAATAGTCACAGGAGCCCGATGCTTGTTTGAATTCTCTCAGACCCCCGACACGCATTTCAGGCGCTGGCCGGTGAGTGCTTCAACTTCATCTCAGGGCTCCCTGGCGTTAGCCGGGCGAGTCCGGGCACGTCGCTGACAATTCTGGGCTTGCTTGGCTTTCTGGTTGGTTTTAGGTTTCCGGGAATGTCGCATCGGGTTGGTTTCGCGAGGTTTTAGGAGATCTCGGATGTAATTTGCTGAGCCGAGGGTCTCCGCTTTGATACCTTACCGCGGAGCGCTGCTCTTCGTTAGCCGCGACGGAATCACTGCTACACCGCCGTACCGTAGAGTTAGGTATCCTGAGTGGCCACTTGAATTGTTACAACCTTTGAGATACCGGTTTCGCAAGCATTCAAAACTATCGTTCTCTGTTAAAACAACACGTCCCACGCTCCAAGACGCCCACCCCAGACCGGAAATCCTGCGAAGCTTCCGGAAGGGACGGAACCACAGCTGGAGGACCTTGGGCAGCCGACGACCCACGGTACTCGAGTTCCGGCATGCCCCAACCTTCTCTCAATCCAGGCGGGAACTTCTGGGCTGTTCAGATTGCGTGTGGGATTGTCCAAGAACCGCACTATCTCTGAAGCAGGGTGTTTCTGCGCAGCTCCCAGTGCCGAAACTTCGAGGAAGGTCGAACCGCTGCTGCCCACTCTAATCCGTCATGGCCCAAGCAATGCCGTTTGGGCACATGCCAAGCAGCTTTAGGTGCTGTTGGCGGTCACAGCTGGGCTCGGTTGGTACTTGTTGTTGGACGGCAACTAATCTAAGACCGGCTTCATGTCTCAACATATTAGGCATAGCGGCATAACAGTTCTTCCTGTCGCGGCACAACAAGCCATAAGACCCTATGAATTTTCATGCTGGCATTCTGGCTGGAAAGCTTGCACAATGGGCACACTGCAGCTTAATTTGGCACGGCATGTTTGTGGGAGCCTTCCGACTTCCGAACTCTGAAATCCTTGACTCACCAGCAACAACTCTAGACTTCAGTCAAGCTACAAGGCACCGCACAAGTGCTTGACACACTATGTTCAAGCCTGATTGAGGGCCACCCTTCTGGGAGGTGGTTCGTGCGTGACCGGAAGACAAACCACTGGGTCGATCATCCAGTCGACCAGGACTGGAGTCAGAGTCTTCAGACAAGTCTGTTGGATGTCATGTGGCAAGGTTGATGACCGCGTGCGCGATTTTCAGATTGTCGATGTTATGGGGGTATGGGGTGTATCGTGTGCTCTCGAGGGCTTGAGGGCTGCGGTTGCCGGATGTGGGGTTTCGGGGTCCTTTTCCTCAAAGTTTCGTCTGTGGGGGCTTGGCTTTACCAATAACATCGGGGGCGTGATAACTTCTATGAATGAGGTTCTACGAAGGTCAGGCCACGCCCATATGAAGTGAAAAAAGATGAAAAAAGTATGACTTTGGTCTGTAGGTTATTGTAATGACAGGCTCACAAAAGCCGGAATCCAGGATGTCGCATCCCAAGGTCACATAGGCACTCTTATCATCGCGATGCCGTGAAGGATGCAGACCCAAAGGCAATAAGGCAGGTCCCAATGCATAAGGCCGATAGCCTTCAACACTGGCTGCCAAAACCCCCTGCAAAGACCAGGATTTTAAGAATAGCGCCAGACACAGCCCATGGCCTGCCCACTGCTCACAGGTCATGAAGATCGTGGGCGACGCTCACGAGGAGCATGGCATGGGTTGTCTTTTTTGTTCAGGGTTGTAACACTGTTCTCACATGAAACATGTGCAGAAAAAGGTTTGCATCCTTCAAGGGCTCCCTTGGAACGGTCGGCAGGGACACATGCTCAAGGTACTTCTCTCTGCATAAGCTGGAAGCCCTGCAACCGTGAAGCCTGAAAATCTACACTGCGAGCCATGCCCTGAAACATTGGTAAACACATCCCTGCTAGCAGTCCAGGGGCGGAAACAGCAAGAAGGATCGTAGGTGCTTCAGGCTGCGGAAAAACAGTACAGGAGTAGGGACTATTGGTTCGGGCTTCAACCTGTGAGTGGTTTGATTCAACTCGGAGTTGTGTCATTGAAAGCTTCGTGTTGTGTTATCCCTCCGGTAGAGTTAGAGCAACCGAACGGATGGGCCTGAAATCCCAAACCTGAAATCCGGAGACTACCGCGCCCCACAAAAGCTGCAGCCTGCAGAGTGGCGGAGCCTGTTTCAATCTCTGAAGAATTTGCCCTACACCGCACCCGTCCAAGCGTAGGAGTGCGGCACTTCAGTCAGTCACGAGCCCATTTATGTGCGCATCGAGTCGAGCAAGTGTGTCGACACTCGGCTGACTAGCCGCAGGGACTGAGGGGTCAAGGGCTTGTTGGCGGGTTGCAGCATGCCCATGTTTCTTTCGGGAGGGATGTGGAGTGGTGTGCTGTCCTGAAGGCACTGTGAGGCTGAATTGGAGATGCACAACCCTGTGTACAGTGTAAAGCTTGCAGCAGAGTGCTGAGTTTGTTGAGGCAAGTCGGGCTAGGCGTTGCAATTCAGGATCCACCCAAAGAAATTCCTGACTTTTCCTCTGCCTGCCCGCTTCCCAGCAAGACTATGTTCGAAGCCGCGGGGTGAGGGTGCCTCGATTCGTATATATATATATACACATACATATGTGTGTGTATATATATATATACGTACATGGTCACACCCCCATCATCCACCTCTGCCTTTCTTCGATATGTAAGCGCATAGAAGCCACCGTAAAATACCCATGACTTTGCTATTATCAGAAACTCACAAATCCACCCAAAACTGTGTCACAAAATCGGTGGTTCGGAGCATAGTGAGGCAAACTTTAAACAAGGCACCACAGCAATAAGCGAACTGTGTATACCCAAGACTGTGCTACGAGAC